ATGATATTGTACACTCGTGATAAGGAGAGACGTTCAATCAGGTAGAGGTGTGCAGTATGGTGGTGTAATTATGAAGCATATAACGCGAACGGGTACCCTTATTCCTTGCGCGGTCGGGGTTGCACAACCACAATGTGTGGTGGTACACACTAGGGGTCTCAGGCAGTTGGCTGTTTGGATATTGGTGACGCGTACGTGGCATCGTGGGGGCGGGATGTTTTAGGTGGGCGTTACAGGTGGTCGTATCAAAGGAGAGCGTTATCTCTGTGCGGCGCAGGGAATGTGGTCGGTTGGTTGTGTGGCCAATTTCAACTGCTGTACACACTGTGCGTGCAGGGGCAAGCCGGGGGTACGCCAAGGTGATATGAAACGTATGTAGGAGGAGGTCGTGTGCCTTTCAATGCATACTTGCGTACCAGAGTGACAGTGTGTTACAATGGGTGACCTGAAGGCCCTGCTTGCTACCGCACATCCGGGTGACGTGTTCTGCTTCCACGAGATTAATTTTCTTCCAAGCCGGCTGCCGAAGTCCTACATTCCGGATAAGCGCAATGTGGTGGAGCGTATCGTCAGCGTCGGCATCCTCTACAACGCGACTGGGAGTTGTTCCGCAGTGCCTCTTGTGGTGCTAGAGCCATCCAATAGGCCCCTGCGCCGGCGGGCGATCGCCGCATCGCGCAAGGTGGCCGTTAGGTATACGAACCGCGGGAGGTTGACGCCGGAGGTCATGGATTGTGGACTTGGTGTGCAGTTTTATGGCTGGACGTGCATAGAACGTGAGAGTACATCAGGAGCGCGTCCATCTCCGATATCAGTGCGTACCGCAATGTCTGTTTATGACGTGCTCGGTATGTTTGATTCACTGCACACAGGTGTTCACAGAGTTTGTGGAGACTGTCAACGGTGTGCACTTCAGCCGTGATCGCAACACCATCATCCTCACCATTCACAATGCGCATCGAATCACAGGCGAGGGGGCGCCGGCCGTCTCGGAGCACGGCTTCATGTGCAGCACCTCACGAACACCAGAGTCGTCAACATTCGTGGATCGGTTCCGGAGACGAGCCTGCCGCACCTGCAGGGAGTGGGTGACGCGCTGAAGGCGTATTACCGCGTTATGCTGATGAGGCGGGCGATAGGGTCCAAGCGGTTCCAGTTCGACTATTCGGCTTCCATCGCTGATGTCGACTATAACGACATACTCGAGTGGCTGGGAGAAGCGTGGACTCGTGTTCGCGCGGCTACCATGCAGCGGAGCTGGTGGCGCGCAGGATGCGTGCCGGCGAGCTAGCCGCCCCTGATGGCGTACCTGGGTGACACGTGCGCAACCGGCATGTTCGAGCCTATTATTTCGGTATGCGTCGCTTTGCAGTTGCTCATCGAGAAGTTCAATGTAAGGCCTGCGTGCTACATGACGGCGTCGGATTTTATCAACTGCGACGCGGAAATATGCGTGGAACAGGGGTTCAGAGCCACACCTGATGCCAGCGCGTCCGATGACTCGTCGGGCGACATGAGCCTGCCAGACGGCCCATTGCTGCGGGACGAGCACAGCAGGAGGCGCGTGATACGCAATGTCACAAACGCGTACGTGGAGCGTGCCGATGAGCTCGGCATCCCCCCGGCGGCTGTGCCAGCAGAGGTTGGAGCATCGAACCAGGAGGTGATTTCCCGCCTATGCAGGACGCCTGTCAAGAGGGCTCGCGCAGGGGGGCGAGCTGAGAACGGGACAGCCGAAGAAGTGCTGCAGAGTGATGAAGTGCTGGAGAGTGATGACGACTAGTGATGCGTCTGGCAGTAGGGGGGTTTGGTTGTAGGAGTTGATTGTGTGCGGTATCGAACGGGGGGGGTACGCATTGCTTATGTTGGTGTAGTGGTTGTAATAGTGTGTGCAGTATTAATTTGAGTTGATGGAGCCGTTTAGATACTGTGGATATGAGCACCGTAACAATGGAGGTACATGTTGTATTTTGACAGAAACACCAGTTACAGCATACTTATGTCGCGGATTTTGGTTCCAATGACATGGGAGCCGCGTTTGCGACTCGAGATGTATGTGTGCGCTTCGAGTTTGGTACATGTTCGTGGAAAAGTAAACGCCAAGTCACTTTTGTGTCTACGATGAAGTTGTGCGTTTCTGATGTGCAAAAAGTTGCGATTCTGGTGCGGTGTTTTTATGAAGCTTTCCGCAACTTTCTCGCAAGGCCAACGCAGAAAAACCTTCGGGGGCCAAAAATCGCAGCTTTCCTTTTTCGCGATGTCAACGTTCTCGTGAAAGAGACCTGTGCCTCGTTCGCTACCAACCCTCGGATGCGCAGCAGTAGGATCTTGACAGATTCATCGTTCTCCCTCTCCCTTTCATCCTGGATAGAGTTTCTCATACCTTCGCTAGAACGGCGTAAAATGACCATCCTTATTGTCGTTCGTACGACCCCTTAATTCGAGCACGTGTAAGTTGATCAGTTTACTAAAGCCCATGATTCTCGTTTCTCTTTGAACTTTAGCTTAGCCGGACCTTTTCGTTTTGCAGGTGGTGCATAGCGCTTTTCGGACCTTTCAGTAGCCTTGAGTCATTTAGGTGGTAAATTCAGTCTATACAGCCAAAGAAGCTCCGACGAAGCTTCTGCGGAGATATTTATAGGGAAAAAGAGGAATCGCGTAAACTAGCGAAGAACTTCAGCAGTTTCGCGTGACGATGGATTTTGGCAGCAAAGAAAGCGACGAGCAAAAGTCTCGTTTGCGCGCTTGCACGTCAGAGCTAAAGGCCGAGGATCAGATCACTGCGGAGCGGAATACCTGCGACGCGCTCGGCCTCCTTCACCCGGATGGTCCTCGCTTCCACGCTTGGAACGTGTATGTGGATATTCCCTTTGAAAGCGAAGAGTTTCGTTAGGGAACTCATGCAGGACGTTTCTGCGTTCACGCAATGTTTACGTGTTGCAGACTGAAATCTCATACCATATCCTTTTTAGACCAGGTGAAGACATTCCGCTCTTTGAGTTCCAACACTTTCGTCGTCACTTGCTATCTATTCAGCCTGTTTCCTGCTGTAATCTTGCGTTCGCTTTCCGCCTGGCTGTAACTCCACGCTCGTCTCGCCTCTCCCTCGGCAGGCTCATTCACACGCTCGTCATGTGGTCGTCGTTCTGGGTGACCCTGGAGTGTTTTTGAGACGCCTCAAAAGCATTCTTTTATCACGTGGCTCGCCTCGCTTCCCTCCTCTCGTGGCAGGCTCATTCACGCGCTCGTCATGTGGTCGTCGTTCTGGGTGACCCTCGAGTTCGCCTTCTACAGGACTTATCTCATCTCCTCGCTGATGCTCGTCTCGTCAATCCCTCTGCAGGCTCATTCACACGCTCGTCATGTGGTCGTCGTTCTGGGTGACATCACAAAAACCCCCCTATTATATTGGTCAATTATTGCCCCAACTCTGGTGTTTCCATCCAAAATTGGACCATTAATGGTCTCATTGTTTGGTACAATCTTGGTATAGTTGCTAATATGAACTTTGGGCTATTTTTTGCCACAGTTTTGGTGATTCTGATGACCATTTTTCTCCAAGCCTACTCTCAACTTTATCCCAAGTTGAACCAAGTATGGTCCCAATCTAGAGTCTCCTGTGTCTTGGGTTGGCCCTATACCAAACTGTCATTTGCATGAAATTTCCGTTTGAAATATTTTTTTATTGCAAAATCAAAATACAGCATATTGTACCTCTAGATACAGCAAAACAATGCATTACAACTGTACTGCTCCTACACTACACTGTTTAAAGGTTACTAAATCCTTCTGCTAAAGCTACTGCTGGCTGCTACTGGCACTGCTATGCTCCTCCGCACCTGTCTCCCTGTTGCTGCTACTGGTTGCTACTGCCACTGCTATGCTCCTCCGCACCTGTCCCCCTGCTGGCCCTGCTGCTCCGCACCTGTCCCCCCTGCTGCTGCTACTAGTTGCTACTGCCACTGCTACGCCCCACTGCACCTGTCTCCCTGCTGCTCCTGCAGGTTTCTAATGCCGCTGCTACTCCCCTCTGCACCTGTCTCCCTGCTGCTCCTGCAGGTTGCTAATGCTGCTGCTACGCCCCTCTGCACCTGTCTCCTTGCTGCTCCTGCAGGTTGCTAATGCCGCTGCTACGCCCCTCTGCACCTGTCTCCCTGCTGCTCCTGCAGGTTGCTAATCCCGCTGCTACGCCCCTCTGCACCTGTCTCCCTGCTGCTCCTGCAGGTTGCTACTACCGCTGCTACGCCCCTCCGCACCTGCAGATTGCTACTGCCTTTGCTATGCCCCTCGTTTTCCTGTTATCCTGCTGTTCCCGCAGATTGCTGCAGCCACTAATGTGCCCTTCCGCACGTGTCCCCCTGCTGCTGTCTCAGATTGGTGCATCCACTGCTATGCCCCTTGTTTTCCCGTCCCGTTGTTGTTCCTGCTGATTGCTACTTCCACTGATGCGCCCTTCTGCACTTGTCCCCCTGCTGCTGTTGCAAATTTCTGCATCCGCTGATATGCCCCTCGTTTTCTGTCCTACTGCTCCTGCAGATTTCTACAGCCACTGAAATGCCCCTCTGCACCGTTCCCCTTGCTCCTGCTGTAGTTTGCTACTGCCTCTGCTTAGCCCCTCCGCACCGATCCCCCTGCTGCTGCTGCAGATTGCTACTGCCACTGCGAAGCCCCTCCACACCGATCCCCCTGCTGCTGCTGCAGATTGCTACTGCCACTACTAAGCCCCTCCGCACATGTCCCCCTAGTGCTGCTGTAGATCTCTGTGATCACGGGTTGGGGGTGACAACCCGGGCTGGTGCAGGTCGTGCTGCCTGCGCAAAGAGGCATGGGGGACGGAAGGAATGGGACAGTAGAGACGGGAGGAAGGGGACGGAAGAGATGGGAGGAAGGGGAAGGGGACGGAAGAGATGGTGAGTGATGCAACAAAGCTGGTGCCACAGCACGGCGTTGGTGCCACATGAGCATTGTGTTGGAGCCATCTCAGCAAGGTTTTGGTCCTATCAATGTCTTATCTGCACCCTGCTGACAAGGGTCTCCATGTCAGACGCGTCGATGTAGACGCCGTTGGGGAAGTTGAATGTGTTCGTGTTGCTGGCGTATGGGACACCATGGTCCATGACAGCGATCTCGACCTCCTGCTTCACACGGGTGCACATCTCCTCGTACTGGATCCGATTGTACTCCCACTTGCCGCTCAACTTCCCATCGGGCGCATTGTTAAGGATTGGCCACTCGAACTGTAGGAATATGGTGGGGATGAGGTGGGGATGTAGTGGAATAGATGAACAGACAAGGGTTAACACATGAAAACGCTAGATGGCTCACTGCATACGTGGCATCAAACATAGCAACATGTCCATACACTCACTGCATATAAGATCCAGCCCAGCTGGCGGGTCTTCATCTTCTCGGTATTGACCCCACGGCGCGCCAAAGCCAACTTGATGGACACCGAGAAGATGAGGCTGCCGAACGGGATGAGGAGCTCACGGTGCCAAGCCAGTCCCCTCTCCCCTGTAATGGGATTTTGTGGTGATAGGAAACAAAGGGATGAAAATTGCTGACTCTATGGTGAATAGGGGGCAACCGAAAGTGGAAAGGAGGAACGAAATCATATATATACATATGATTGTAACACACATAACAGCAACTATGGGATCAAAGGCTGCATATAAACTCACCATCCTTGTAACGCTCAATGAGTTCCTCATCCGTGTAGAACTCGTGTGGTGCAAGTAGATCTGCTGGTAACCTCCCGATGTAACACTTGTTCGCCTGTCGACCCAACGCCGTGAGTGCCACCTTTCTCATCCAGCCGTTGATAGTAGTCCTATTTGAAGACAGCTGCTAAAAAAAAACCCCTCTGGTGCTGGCATCATTGTGCTGAAAGAGCACACGCAACGAGGCAAGAACCTGCGGCGACACAAACTCGCTAAACCCATGATCTAAGGCCTCCTCCGCAGATGGGTAGAACTGAATCATTGAGGCTTCAATGTTGAAGCAAAGATGTGTTGCTACACGCCTAGCAAGTTCCTGCAGAGTGGAGGGGGATGGGTGGCAGATATGCAAACAAGAGGTAAGGGTTTGCAAGTGGGGTTTAGTGTTGAGGGTAACGTGGGGAGATAGTTGGAGCATGCATCTAGGTTTAGGGAAAGCTTCAGCTCCCTATATTTGGATGGGGGAGCAAGTGGGGTTTAGAGTTGAGGGTAGAAGGGACAGACTGTTGGAGCATGAGTCAAGGTTTAGAAGCTCCATCTCCCAGTTCCTGGCTGGGTAAGCAAGAGAGGTTTAGGGTTGAGGAGAGAGGGGGCAGATTGAAAAAGCATAAGTCATGGTTTAGGGTTGATGGTAGTAGGGGCAGACAGTCAAAGCAGAAGTCATGGTTAGGTAAAGGGTTTAAGGATGGGGAAGCAGGTGGGGTTTAAGGTTGAAGGGAGAGGGGCAAGCAGGCAGAGGGGAGTCAATGTTTAGGTAAATCGTCACCTCACTAGACCTGGATGGGGAAGCCAGCGGGGTTTAGGGTTGAAGGGAGAGGGCAGGCAGGCAGAAGGGAGTCAGGGTTTAGGTATTGCCTCACCCCCTGAGACCTGGATGGGGAAGCAAGTGGGGTTTAGGGTTGATTGTAGTGGGGGCAGACAATCAAAGCAGAAGTCATGGTTAGGTGAGGCCTCACCTCCCTATACCTGGATAGGGAAGCAGGTGGGTTTAAGGTTGAAGGGAGAGGGGCAGGTAGGCAGAGGGGAGTCAGGGTTTAGGTATTGCCTCACCCCCTTAGACCTGGACAGGGAAGCAAGTGGGGTTTCGGGTTGAGGGGAGAGGGGCAGGCAGGCAGAAGGGAGTCAGGGTTTAGGTATTGCCTCACCCCCTGAGATCTGGATGGGGAAGCAAGTGGGGTTTAGGGCTGATGGTAGTAGGGGCAGACAGTCAAAGCAGAAGTCATGGTTAGGTAAAGCCTCACCTCCCTATACCTGGATGGGGAAGCAGGTGGGGTTTAAGGTTGAAGGGAGAGGGGCAGGCAGGCAGGCAGAGGGGAGTCAAGGTTTAGGTAAATCCTCACCTCACTAGACCTGGATGGGGAAACAAGCGGGGTTTAGGGTTGAAGGGAGAGGGGCAGGCAGGCAGAAGGGAGTCAGGGTTTAGGTATTGCCTTACCCCCTGAGACCTGGATGGGGAAGCAAGTGGGGTTTAGGGTTGATGGTAGTGGGGGCAGACAGTCAAAGCAGAAGTCATGGTTAGGTGAGGCCTCACCTCCCTATACCTGGATGGGGAAGCAGGTGGGTTTAAGGTTGAAGGGAGAGGGGCAGGCAGGCAGAGGGGAGTCAGGGTTTAGGTATTGCCTCACCCCCTTAGACCTGGATAGGGAAGCAAGTGGGGTTTCGGGTTGAGGGGAGAGGGGCAGGCAGGCAGAAGGGAGTCAGGGTTTAGGTATTGCCTCACCCCCTTAGACCTGGACAGGGAAGCAAGTGGGGTTTAGGGTTGAGGGGAGAGGGGCAGGCAGGCAGAAGGGAGTCAGGGTTTAGGTATTGCCTCACCCCCTTAGACCTGGACAGGGAAGCAAGTGGGGTTTCGGGTTGAGGGGAGAGGGGCAGGCAGGCAGAAGGGAGTCAGGGTTTAGGTATTGCCTCACCCCCTTAGACCTGGACAGGGAAGCAAGTGGGGTTTCGGGTTGAGGGGAGAGGGGCAGGCAGGCAGAAGGGAGTCAGGGTTTAGGTATTGCCTCACCCCCTTAGACCTGGATAGGGAAGCAAGTGGGGTTTAGGGTTGAGGGGAGAGGGGTTGGCAGGCAGAGGGGAGTCAGGGTTTAGGTAAAGCCTCACCTCCCTAGACCTGGATTGGGGAAGCAAGTGGGGTTTAGGATTGAGGGTAGGAGGGATGGACTGGCACAGCGTGAGTCAGTGTTTAGGAAAAGCGTCAACTCCCTAGTTCTGGTTGGGGAAGCAATTGGGGTTTAGGATCGAGGGGTGAGTGTGCAGACTGGTCGAGTAGGAGTCTAGGAAACGCATACGCAGTGTATCACAGGCAACGCACCTTGAAGTCGACTACGGCTTTGTAGACGATTTCGCGGTGGTTTGCCAGGAGACTATTGCCAGAGGGAAGGCCTTCCGACAAGCTGGTGCTCGGGCCAGAATGGGGAGGTGTTGTTGCAGGCGCTCCGATTGGGAGGGATTGGCCAGCACCCCGACCCATGGCCGACAGCATTTCGGCAAACCTCGCCATCACGCGTCGCTCGAATTGGTCAAGGTCCGCGTTTGTTACACCACCACGCTCCCGGCGGCGATTGCCGGATGCCGCCACAAACGGGGTTTTCTTGGCGGGTACAAGATCAAAACGCTTGGTGGCTAGGCCGAGAACCTTCACTGGTGGCGCAGCTCCGGAGTCCTTGGTTGCTGCTGGGAGGAACGTGACAGAAAGGATAGGAGGAACATGACAGAAGGGATGGGAGTTGGGTGACGGGAGGGATGGGAGATGGGTGACGGGAGGGATGGGAGCAAGGTAGACAGAAGGGATGGGCTGATTGGTTTACGGCAGGGATTGGACGAGAGCTGACGGTAGGGATGGGACTGCAGGGATGGGAGGATAGGGTACGGCAAGGATAGGGACAACAGGGATGGGACTATAGAGAAAGGATGGGACAGTGCCTTGGGACATCAACAAACATGCCACAAATAGAAAGGCAGCATAAGGGCAATAGCCCTAGTTCACTGAAACATGCACCTTAACGAGGCAACGTTCTCACCATCGGTTTTGGTGTTGCCCTTCTTAGCGGTCGCTTTAGCCCCACCGCCCGCTTTAGCCTTTACCCCTCTTGCCCCAGCGCCTGCTGCCTTTGGAATTGCCTTCGTTTTGCCCGCCACTTCACCGGTGTTCCGCTTTTTTTATACACCTCCAACCACCAAGGCGGACTCCTCCCGTTTCGTCTTTCCACCAGGGCTACTCTCTTTCGCCATCCCTTTCTCCACCACTTTCTCCACCACTTTCTCCACCACTTTCTCCACCACTTTCTCCACCACTTTCTCCTTACCCTTAGCCATGGCGACAGCATGTCTCCCTGGAGGTGGCTTAGCCGGAACCTTAGAGGGTCCTGAACGCGACTGTGCTTTCGCACCCTTTCCAGCGAGCTTCGAGCTGACAACGGGTTCCTGGATCGCATCAAGTGCCTTCAGCTTCCCAAGCAGCAAAGCTCGTTCCTTTGCCACAGCCTCATCCTCCACGGCATCACCTTCACTGTCATCCTGCTCTTCCAGCATCTCGTCAAAGCTTGTTTTTTCCGTGACGTCAGGCTTATGAGCATCCGCACAGGCAGGCACTTCCGCCATACCGTTTTCCTCATTCCTCTCCACTGCCTCCTCCTCATTCCCCTGCTCATCGTCCGACTCTCCACCTTCCTCGTCCGACGGCTCGTCCCCGGACTCATCTTCCAACTCATTGCCGGACTCCCCACCCTCTTCGTCCTCCGCCTCGCCATCTTCCTCTTCCTCCGCCTCTTCCTCCGCCTCTTCCTCCGCCTCTTCCTCCGCCTCTTCTTCCGCCTTTTCCTCCTCATCTTCCTCCGCATCTTTGTCGGCCTCTTCTTCCGCCTCGTGCGGAGCCTCGTGCTCCGCCTCGTCCTCAGCCTCATCCTCAGCCTCGGCCTCAGCCTCGTCCTCAGCCTCGGCCTTGTGTCCCGACTTGCCGTTGGCCTCTGCCTCGTCCAAATCGTCGCCCTGTCGTTTGTTCCGCGCAGCTGTAACAGGTTCAGCGTCTTCTTCGGTAGCATCCGCACCTTCAGCGTACCACACTCTCGCCTTTTGAGGGCGGTTGGACTTGCGAATATCGCCCCCAGGTGGGCCCTCTCCGCTAGATGACCTGGATTTCGACGGAACCACAGTTCCCTTCTTCTTCGTAGTCTGCTTGACCTTGCTGGGAGATCGTGCCGAGACACCTTTGGCATAGTTTTTCTTCCCAGACTTCGAGACCTGCAGTTTAGTCGACATTATGCAGACAGGGCTATAGAAAATCGAGAAACGCTGGGAAACTCTAACGTAACAAAGTATATCGGTTTGCAGTGTGGATTCGTAAGTGCTACTAGTGTCGAAACATGTCTTCTTAAACATTCAGGAGATGCAGAAATGAGCCATCATTTAGGAACCGAAAAAGTACAGCGTGTTCCGGTCGCGGTCACTTGACGGGTCGGGTACTCAGAGCTTGAAGCAGCCCGATTCGGGAACGGGCGCTTTCTACGCCACGCGCTTATAACGATTTGGTATGGGCTTTAGGGTGGCGCGGCTTGACTCCCGGAAAGAAACTGGACGTGGGTGATACTAGGGAGGCCCCAGAAGCTACTATGTTCGCAGAGGGTAAGGCAGTACGTGGCGCTATGATACGTGCCATTCTGAGAGGCCGTGAAAAACGGACGGAACAGGATATCGTGGAAGCGCGAGGTCGATTGTGTTTGCATAGGAGAGTCGCGTGGGTCGCGGTTCGACCATGTCAGAGGTAAGTCGCTAGGAAAAGCGGGGGAAAAACTGTCTTGCGGTGCCGAAGGAAAGACGCTCTCGTGACGGTGTTGGTCTTTCAGCGTCGTGACTGCTATCGCGAACGGTAGCACAGGACCAGAGAGTCGTGAGAGACGATGGTGGCAGATGAACTGCTAGGCGTGGCCGTGGGCTGGGGTTCGAGGTGGTTGATGATAATGTAGGTTTGATACAGTACAAAACGACGACAGAGGCCAGCACCACATGGCAGAATTGTGGTTTGCGTGGCAGCTTTGTGGTTTGTGCGGCAGGGCAGCTCTGTAGTTTTCATGGCAGCTTCGTGGGTGCGTGGCAATGTGGTAGTACAGTGCAGAACAGTCAAGTTCCGAACTGACCCTAGGAGCAGTGGTAGGAATTTCGCAACGGTCCACTGACCCTATCAAGGCAGAACTACTTCTCGTCGCATCCCGTCACTTAGCCTGCAATTGGCAATCGGCGCACCTGGAGATGACCCTTTTGGTAAACCGGTACATTGTGAGCAGAAAAAACTTTTCCCGAGAACGTTGGGATGTTTCTCTACTTACTAAATGCCAAATGCGTTCTAGTTGCTTGTTTTTCTGAAACAGCTGTTGGATTTGTCTGAAAGATTGTTCCCAAAAGATTGAAAACTCAAGCACACGAAGTCGGCTTTGCAGTCCCACCGCAGTTCTCACCGTTTCTTAGACTGCAACGTGTGTCTTCGTTTTGCGGCCGCTGAAGGCGCTGGCTCACTACTAAAACGTCGCTCAGTACACGCGGTAGCTATTAACAGAAGAAATTATCCTGCCCCCTATATTTTGGTGCGTTTCAAGTGGCCACGTGGCAACCAGATGTCAAAGGCCTCGATACGACCAAAAGACATAACCGCGTGCACAACGATCCAAAAATTGCAGCTAGAATCTGCTCTGATTCTGATTCGGCTCTGCACAATGGCCACTAGCAGCATTTCAACGGGTTCTCTTAGACAGTTCGGGACCCATCCAAATTTGATAGTACACCTGCTATATTTGCATGCACAAGATCTTACATAACAGTGCACTTTTTTATCTGTTGAATACTTGCGAGTTTTTATTGTAATGGACAGGGTTCCCAATATGCCAATCACGTCCCAACAGGTGATTCACATCAAGGAGCAACCGTTCATCCATTTACATGCTACATAGAGTCTAGCAAGTTGAAATGATACTGTGGAAGCTCTTGGGGCGAGGAATCTTGTTGTTCACTAGATTCGGTATAAAGCCTAAACTGTCAAAGCATCCTAGTATTAAAGTTCCTATTAGTATCAGGAGCCTCCCATCCCAAAATGGGCCTCGCCAGAGCACTTTTGGTTGGTCGTTTGACAAACGTGCTAGCCTAAGGCTGATATGTACAAGTTCTGGGCAGGCGTATGGGGAAAAGCGTCGATTGATAGCATCTACATTTTGGATTGGGCTCAACTCCTAGGAGGATGTTTCTAATTTTATCAGGAGCCTCCCATCCCAAAATGGGTCTCGCCGGAGCACGTTTGGTTGGTCGTTCGACAAACGTGCTCCGGCGGCTGCTCTGTACAAGTTCTACGCAGGCCTGTGGGGAAATGCGTCGATTGATAGCGTAGGCATTTTGGATTGAGCTTATTCTTTGTGTGGTGGAGATAGTTAGTTCTATGAACCTCCCATCCCATTCTCAGCTCCTGCGGATCACCCTAGGTTGGTTGTTTGGAAGATGCGCTAGTTTAGCTGATTTTGCTACGATTTCCGCTGCCATATGGGGCAAGGCATGATTACCTGCCGGCCACATCTTCGATTGAGCTGATTCTTTGTGTGGTGACTTTGAGTAGTGCTGTGGACCTTCCATCCAATTTTCAGGTCCTGCGGAGCACTCTAGGTTGGTTGTTTGGAAGATGAGCTAGTTTAGTTGACTGTTATGCGATTTCCGCTGCCTTTTGGGGCAAGGCACGATTACCTACCAGCCAAAGATTGGATTGATCTGATTCTTTGTATGGTGACTCTAGGAGGTGCTATGAACCTGCCATCCCATTCTCAGCTCCTGCGGATCACCCTACGTTGGTTGTTTGGAAGATGAGCTAGTTTAGCTGATTTTGCTGCGATTTCCGCTGCCATATGGGGCAAGGCATGATTACCTGCCGGCCACGTATTCGATTGAGCTGATTCTTTGTGTGGTGAATCCAAGTAGTGCTGTGCACCTTCCATCCAATTTTCAGGTCCTGCGGAGCACTCTAGGTTGGTTGTTTGGAAGATGACATAAAACGCCGGTTTTTACTGCGATCCAGGCCGTCATATGGGGCAAGGCCTGATTTCCTATCCTAGACGATATTAGTCCAATATTCATTAGTCATTAGGTTCGGTTAGATGAAACCATGGGTACAAATTTCTTGATCGTAGGTTCAGTTAATAATTTTGGTCAATTCTATAAATGGCACATTTTGTTATGCATACGTCTTCTCACTTATGTGCACACCAGGGCTCGTATACAGTGTTGTGTCTAAAACGTGAATAGCATTGCATTTGACTTTCGAGGGTTTGAAGTCGTGGTGTGAGGTACAGGGAATCAGGCACTGCACGCACACACCAACCCTATCCTGAAGGCTGCAAACCTAATTTCATCAAGGTTCCCGATCCGCCTCATCGCGATTCGTGTATTGCATCTCATATCGTGCCCCCAGGTCGCGCCGTCAGCGACTCGTCGTAATCACATGGCTGTCGCGCCTCTAGCTAGCTCGCACTGTAGCGTTATTCCCCGTCACGATGTCCATCCGCTTCCTTATACTGAATGGCCTTCTCGCTATTCATCTACTCTTTGTAGTGGGTGCGTAGTTAAACGCCACGGCGATATGCAGAGGCAAAGGAACGACGGACTTATGTCGCGCTGCCATGGATCGTTCTAGTCCTGTTCGGTGTGCACATTGTGAACGAGAGTTTTCAGACTGTTTCGCGCTAGGAAGGCACCGGGCTGGCAACACACCCTGCAACCCCAACTCTGCAGAGCATCGCGCAGGCAGTGGTCCTAGGCGCCCTAACATAGCCTACATTGTGCCTGCATTGCTCCCGCGCTTCGTCAGACATGGTAGTTCCGCGCCTCAAGATGCAGCTCAGGAGACACTGCCAACCTCGTCTAGTGGCGTGGGCTGTGAGAGTCGTGTTGATCCTGAGGGATCTTCTCCACATCCCTCAACGCCCCAGTCGTCCAGCCAAGGGGCGGAGCAGCCCCCAACCACATGTCCAGATAATCCTGTATCCGATTCTGCTGCCAGGCCTTCGTTTCCCGATGGCAGCGACATGCATCCCGCTTTGATACACCTATTGGAGCAACTCGATTCACTGAATGGCGGCATGGGCTTATCGAACATGGATACTAACAAGGTGCTGCAGCTAATTATCCATCCAGAGTTGGCCCCGCTGCTGGTAGAGGGGAATGTCCGTAGCTTCCGAGATGTGGAGAGGCTACAGAAAGAATATCTGGCTGACACGGGACGTGGATTCGAGTCGACCACATTTTATGTGGAGGGCTTTCCACCGCAAGTGATGCTTCACCGCGATCCACTGAGGGTGAGTTTGCTGTCGTAGTTTCGGGTACCCGGGATGAAACTGAAGGGCATTGGCTTGACAGTATGTCCTGTGCACATCATGCGTCACTCTCATACTGTGTAGGGTGCTAACCGGCCTGTGTACGTGCTGTATATGATATTGCAGGCCCTGGCGGATATGTTTCGGCACAAGCACAATGCGCCTGGCTTCAGAATGGGACCGAGGAGAGACAAGGACACCGAGAGTGGGCATCGGGCATATTCCACTGCAGAAACTGGCACATGGTGGCAAGAAGCACAGGTGAGTGCTATTGATAGCTGCTTGCAGTTGCGAGAGATGGTGAGTGATGAGAGGGGAGGTGCAGAGTTTGTGAGTGATGGGACGGGAGGTGCAGAGATTGTGAGTGCAAGGTGATGGGTAGTTTACACTCCCCTCACATCACTCGCACCTTGCATATGTTCCACACCTACCACTCACCATGCATGGTCCCGGCTTTCAGCTGGTGTGCCCTTTTCAAGTCAGCAATGTTTACCGCCCGGAGACATTGCCTTTCCCCTCGACCCAATCTATCCATTCTTTGCGTTATGTGCAGGAATTCATTGGCATGGACAAGATTGTTGCGGCGCTGATACTGTACAGTGATGTCACGCACTTGAGCAACAACGGAAGGACGAAGGCGCATCCGGTCATGATGACACTGGGGAATATTGCATTCCCTAAACGCTGGGGGCGGCCTGGGCACTCCCTGCTGGCGCTGTTACCCATCCCACCCTCGAATATGCCGTCGCACTTGAAGGTGGAGCTCTACAACGCTTGTTTTGCTAAGCTACTTGAGCCACTTCTCCGCCTTAAAGACAAGTGAGTGGTGCAAATGCTGGTGATTATCGAAACTTTATCTATTTGGTGAGTCATGCCCCATGAAAGGAGTGCGGCACTTGGAAGTAATGAATATTGTTAACCTGCATGTGTTTTCACCCTGTGTCATGGCTGCCCGAAAACTGTGCAGTGGTGTCATGCTGCTGGACTCAGAAGGCATCGAGCGATGGGTCGTTCCTTTGCTTTACGCTTGGGCTTGTGACTATCCCGAGTCCGGGAAACTGACATGCACCAAATCTGGCCAGGGCTGCATGAAGCCGTGCAGCCTCTGCACCCTGGTGAGTGCTGTGAGGGGAGGCGCTGAGATGGTGAGTGCTGTGAGGGGAGGTGCTGAGATGGTGAGTGCGGTGAGGGGAGGTGCTGAGATGGTGAGTGCTGTGAGGGGAGGTGCTGAGATGGTGAGTGCTGTGAGGGGAGGCGCTGAGATGGTGAGTGCTGTGAGGGGAGGTGCTGAGATGGTGAGTGCTGTGAGGGGAGGTGCTGAGATGGTGAGTGCTGTGAGGGGAGGTGCTGAGATGGTGAGTGCTGTGAGGGGAGGTGCTGAGATGGTGAGTGCTGTGAGGGGAGGCGCTGAGATGGTGAGTGCTGTGAGGGGAGGTGCTGAGATGGTGAGTGCTGTGAGGGGAGGTGCTGAGATGGTGAGTGCTGTGAGGGGAGGCGCTGAGATGGTGAGTGCTGTGAGGGGAGGCGCTGAGATGGTGAGTGCTGTGAGGGGAGGTGCTGAGATGGTGAGTGCTGTGAGGGGAGGTGCTGAGATGGTGAGTGCTGTGAGGGGAGGTGCTGAGATGGTGAGTGCTGTGAGGGGAGGTGCTGAGATGGTGAGTGCTGTGAGGGGAGGTGCTGAGATGGTGAGTGCTGTGAGGGGAGGTGCTGAGATGGTGAGTGCTGTGAGGGGAGGCGCTGAGATGGTGAGTGCTGTGAGGGGAGGTGCTGAGATGGTGAGTGCTGTGAGGGGAGGCGCTGAGATGGTGAGTGCTGTGAGGGGAGGCGCTGAGATGGTGAGTGCTGTGAGGGGAGGTGCTGAGATGGTGAGTGCTGTGAGGGGAGGTGCTGAGATGGTGAGTGCTGTGAGGGGAGGTGCTGAGATGGTGAGTGCTGTGAGGGGAGGTGCTGAGATGGTGAGTGCTGTGAGGGGAGGCGCTGAGATGGTGAGTGCTGTGAGGGGAGGTGCTGAGATGGTGAGTGCTGTGAGGGGAGGTGCTGAGATGGTGAGTGCTGTGAGGGGAGGCGCTGAGATGGTGAGTGCTGTGAGGGGAGGTGCTGAGATGGTGAGTGCTGTGAGGGGAGGTGCTGAGATGGTGAGTGCTGTGAGGGGAGGCGCTGAGATGGTGAGTGCTGTGAGGGGAGGTGCTGAGATGGTGAGTGCTGTGAGGGGAGGTGCTGAGATGGTGAGTGCTGTGATGTGAGGGGAGGGTGAGTGCTGAGATGGTGAGTGCAGTGATGGGAGGGTGAGTGCTGAGATGGTGAGTGCGGTGATGGGAGGGTGAGTGCTGTGAGGGGAGGGTGAGTGCGGTGATGGGAGGGTGAGTGCTGAGATGGTGAGTGCGGTGATGGGAGGGTGAGTGCTGAGATGGTGAGTGCGGTGATGGGAGGGTGAGTGCTGAGATGGTGAGTGCGGTGATGGGAGGGTGAGTGCTGAGATGGTGAGTGCGGGGGGGTAGGAGTGCCTGGCGGGACAGCTCGGGCTGGGTGGCATGGAAAGTTTGCCGGCAGGTCCTTGGTGGGTAGCAGGGGAAGAGTTAGCTCAAGGCAGGGGAGGGGGCAGTGAAAGAGGAAGTGCAGGGCAGGGAGGGGAGCAAACGGAGGGGGAGAATGGTGTGCTCGTTGCTGCTGGTTGCTGCGATTCTGATATTGTTTTCCAATCTCTGCCTTTTCTGACACGTGTCAGGCCATCGAGGATGGAGCTCGGGTGATGGTGAAGGAGTCCTACTTCTTCCACGTGAAACCCGATGACGTCACTCCCATTGCCAACTGGTTTGTCCGTGAGTGGGCGAAGCTCCACAGCGAGGCACACCATGCCTTTGCGGGTGCATTGCTTCGACGCCAGCTGAGGCCAACGAAAGTTCGTGTAAGTAGTGACAATGGTGACATCAAGCAGATACCATATGTAACTGAATGTTACTTTTTACTGATTTGTGTCTCTTACTGGTTGCAGGCTCACACAACACTTGCCATCCCTGCTGCAGAAGATGCGAGTTTCGCCCGTGTAGCACATTTCGTGAAAGCAACCCCACTATCTCACTCTAGGCCGTGGTTCTCTGATGTTGCCATCGTGGGAACAACAGCGACAGGTGCAGAGACAGAGTGGTACGGAAGGCTCTTGTTGCTGTTCCATACGAAAGAGAGAGGGTGCACGAAGGAGTGGGCATATGTGAAGTACTGGTCAAGAGCAGGCGAGGATGCACAAACAGGGTGCAAACGTCTTAGGTGGGCAACTGGGGTATCGCGCTACTCAGTGATTGACACTGAAAGCATACTGCGCCAGGTGCACATTATCAAGTCTTACCACAGCGACAATGCATTCTATCTTAACAAGTACCTGCTAAATTAGATATAAATCCTACGCGCATCTGTACTTTTTCATAGGCAACCAAACCTGTTTTGTATTAAGAGGCAAGATTACATGCAATAACAACTTATGACTTTACAGGTTATATATGTACATGCACATGTGATTGTTTAACCAGCAGCCTTTCAATATTATAAGACATAACTTTGACTTGATGTAAAATTTGTTTGAAAGAAACACTGTAGGCTCATCTTGGTCCATAATTACTCCTATGCGAGACCATTTTTGCAGGGCCCAAACGCACCCTATCGCCACGTCTGGTCGTGCGCCAAGCAAAGCTGTGGCTCGGTGACCCAGAAATATTTGCGGGTGTTACGAGTGCAATTGAGTGAACGAACGAGAATTGCACTATCGAAGCAAGAGTCCAATGAGCGAAGGCATGAGCGAAGAATATATAGCGAAACTACAGTGGTAACGGTAATGGTCGCGCGACGAGCCTGGGACTGAGGTTGGGAACGTGTCGAAGCGTAGGCCCGGAGCGCGGGTTACCAGCCGAGCCGTGAGGTCGGGATGCGATGTGCGAAAATGGCGGGATGATGAATTATGCGATGGTCGCGAGTGGTAACGGTGCTGACTGAGGTGCTGCAGTGATGTACGCGTTGAGCAGAGATGCGAAGTAAGGAAAAGGGAATTTCCTTACACTACCCCCCCCCCTCCTAAAAGGTCCTCCTTACGAAAGCGCGTGGACGTCTTTGAAGTTTCGGCTGCGTAGATAGTCGGTGACGACAGGGTGGTTTTCAATTCTGTCCAGGGGAACCCAGTTGTCTTCGGTGGGTGTACGATCTTTCCAGCGAATCAGTAACTCAACTTTTCGGGCCCCTCGAGGGTCGCGAACTCTGTGGCTCAAGATTTTGTCGGGGGTGATGACTGGTTCGGTTGGTGGTCGTGACATGCTGGATGGTCGATGTCGTGGGAGTTGGCTGGTGGATGGTACGTAAGGGCGAAGCAGGCTGACGTGGAACGAGGGGCTGACGTACCAGTCAGCAGGAAGGAGGAGGTGCACGGTGACAGGTGTGATCATGTGACTGATTCGAAATGGCCCACAGTATCGAGGGCGGAGTTTGGGAGTGATGGGCAGGCGGAGGTTCTGAGTGTCGAGTAAAACGAGGTCGTCGGGCTGATAAGTGACAGGTCTGCGGTGGCGATCGGCGTTGCGTTTAGCAATGATATTTGATTTTTTAATTGCTTCTGCTGCCCTGGTCCGTGCTGCTTGCAAAATCTTGGCGAACTGTTGTGCGCGTGGAACGGGATTGTCGGGGTTTGGTGTCATGGGTACTGTTGGGTTCTGTCCGTAATTCAAGTAGAATGGCGACTGTTGGGTCGTGGCAGATGGCGCGTTGTTGTATGCGAACTCGATGAGAGGCAGCTGCTGCTCCCACGTGTTTGGATCGTCACACGTGGCTCGAATGAGTTGCTCCATAGTCTGGTTTGTCCGTTCTGTCTGTCCGTCGGTTTCGGGGTGATACGATGAACTGAATTGAAGTCGCGTGCCGGACTGCTGCCACAGGTTCCGCCAGAAATTACTGGTAAACTTCGTGTCCCTGTCGCTGATGATCGACGCTGGTATCCCGTGCAGTCGAACGACGGTGGCGATGAAGAGTCGGGCTGTTTCCTCGGCTGTGATTGATTTCCTGCATGCTGCGAAATGTGCCATTTTCGTTAGTCGATCGACGACGACCAGGATCGCGTCATTCCCACTCGCCCCGGCCGGTAACCCCGTGACGAAGTCCATCGTCACCTGCTGCCAAGCACGCTCTGGAGGTGGGATTGGTTGTAACTGTCCTGCCGGCCGCTTCTTGGTTGACTTCATGAGTTGGCAAGTGGGACACGATGCCACGTGTCGTTGCACGTCGGTCAACATTTCCGGCCAGTAATAGTACCGCTGGAGCTACTGCCGTGTTTTTTCTACTCCGAAATGTCCTGAGGTAACTCCGTCGTGTGCCTCCTGTAACAGTAGTTCCCGTAGTAGCGTGTACCCTGGTACCCAGATGCGGTCGGATCCAGCTTTTACGTAATAGGCTCCCTTGGCTGCTGCGAATTGCTGTGAATTTCCTCCTGTGAAGAATGGGTCTGTTTGATATCCGTGGGTAAATAGTCTTGTTAGTAACGGGCTGGTCTGGGCGAGTAGTATCGCATGTATTTGGGCAGTGGGGCGGGTCAGTGCGTCGGCGATATTCGAGGCTCCTTTTTTATATGTGACCGTATAGTGGAAATTCGATTCGAGGAAGTCGAGCCACCGAATCTGTCGTGTGTTGAGGTGGGGCTGTGCGCGAAGGTACTGTAGGGATCGATGGTCTGTCCGTACTGTCACGTCTGCGCCGGTCAAGTAGCAACGCCACACTTTGAATGCATGCACGATCGCGAGCATTCCGCGGTCGTGTATCGGGTAATTTCGCTCAGGTGGATGTAGCTTGCGTGATTCGTAGGCGATGGGTTGGAGGCCGTTGCCGAAGTCCTGTAACAGTACGGCTCCGATGGCGATGTCACTCGCGTCTGTAACAGCTTCGAAGGGGCGGTGTGGGTCAGCGATGCGTAGTACGGGTGGTGAACAGAGAACATTTTTCAGGGCAGAGAAGGCAGCATGCTCTTTCTCCCCCCACGTAAAAGGGACCCCCTTACGCAGTAAATCAGTGAGCGGGGCTGTTAAGCGTGCCATGTCGGGGACGAACCGACGAACGTAATTAACAAACCCTAAAAAACTCTGTAGTTCCGTGATGTTCGTCGGGGGATGCCACGCTTTTACGGTATCCAGCTTCTTAGGGTCTATCTCAACCCCAGCCTCCGAAATGACGTGACCTAAAAACTCTAGCCTGTCCCGAAAAAACTCGCACTTGGAGCCCTTGGTGAGTAACCGATGTGCCTCTAAAATTTTAAAAACTGGTTCGAGATCTACTAAGTGCTGCTGCTGGTCCCGACTGTAAACGAGGATGTCGTCGAGGTAAACTATGACGCATTTATCTAAAAGTGGCCTAAACGCCTCGTTCATGGTCATCTGAAATGTTGCAGGCGCGTTGGTCAGCCCGAAAGGCATCACCGTGTACTCGAATGACCCGTACCTAGTCCTAAATGCTGTCTTGGCGCAGTCCGATGGTTCGACCCGAATTTGATGGTAACCTCCCCGTAAGTCTATTTTCGAAAATACTCGTGCGGTTCGCAGCTGGTCGATCAGTTCGTCGGGCGGGGGATGGGGTATCGTGATTTTACTGTTACCCTGTTAAGCACTCGGTAGTCGATGCACATGCGAAACCCCCCGTCTTTTTTCGGTGTGAACAGTATCGGTGCGGCGAACGGTGACGAGCTCGGTCGGATAAACTGCTTCTCTAACAGGTAATCTAACTGCTTCCTTAGCTCGTCGAGCTTGGGCTGTGTCAGTCGAAATTGGCGCTGTACAGTTGGCTGTGCCCCCGGTTCTAACTCAATCCTATGGTCATGCGCCCGCTGAGGTGGCAGCCCTTGCGGTAAGTCATCCGGAAAGATACCCGGGAACCGTTTCAGTAGTGCCTGTAGTTTGGTTGGTACGGCTGCCAACAGTTTCTGCAAATCACTCGGCCGGTCCTCTTTTTCCACTAATGCGATATCCACTGCGTACACGTCAGCTTCAGCAGCGACAACCCGTTTTATCGTGATGGCGTTGACCTGGACCGTCGAAGACTCGGGTGGCTGCCAGCGAGGTAGGACGACCCAGTTACCACTACTTCGCACTGTGCAGCTACCCGTCGTCCAGTCAATTCGTGGGTTATACCGTCGCAGCCAATCACGTCCCAATAAAATGTCGTGCCCATCCAGTGTCGTTGCGAGCATTTCCTGTGTAAACCCGAAGTTCCCTCCGCAGCGGAC